GATATTTTCTGGACTTTTATAGGTTGATAGAGGAGGGTGAGAGCTGTAATAGCTTTTTGTGCCTTTTCATGTGTTGTAATTTACCCTTGTCTGACTCCTCTTTTCCTTTTCTCCCAGTACTATTCCTTTTCAGCAGTTAATTAGATTTTTTTATCATCACATCATAGTCAACTTATATACGCAACCTCTGTGTATGTATACTCCTTTTAAATATCATAATAACAATACTGTACACACACACACACGCGCACACAATCACATTATTTGGACAACAGGTAGTGCTATGCAGACTTAATTCTACACATAAATACTTAATCATTTCCAAGGGGATGGATGGGATTTCTGTGGACTAATTTTCCTAGTTGCTTAGGTTAGGAAATTGAAACAATAGTGGCGACAAATATGGACTAAAAAAAGTAAAGATATTATTGTCTTTCATACTTGCATTCTAGTATACTAACTCAGAGATATTTGAGTATTGCAACTACAACATTCATCATTGAAAAAATAATTTTTATAGTTCACCTGTCTTGTTTATATAAAGTCGCTATAAAAGGAAGAAGGAAGGGACAAAGTGATAACAAAATCAAGAATGCCTCTTCAAGGGCACAGACCAACCTGACAGAAACATAACAGAATAAATTTTCTTTAGTTGTTTTTGATTCTAGGTAAAAGTCATAGGTTAACCTTTCTTTTGGAGTAGCCCATCATGTAACAAAATTCCCGGTTATTTACAGGGCATGATAGTGAATTTCAGGATTAACTAGGTGGGAAATTTTCAGAAAATTCAGAAAAGAAATAGCATGAAAGGGAAATGAAGTCAAGAAGTTACTACCATTATATATGCTCAGTTATCTTCTCAACCTTCCCAGGTAGAGATATCCAACTGTAGAAGTTCTCAGAAGGCATTCCTTTTGAGAAGTGCATGGCCTTTACCTTCAATAGTGTATTAGTGACATGGTAATGATTTAGAAAATCATATCTGACATCAAAACTCAGAACAATATCAAAATATGGTTCCCTGAATTCTTGCCTCAAATAGCAAGGTCCACTAACCACAGCTTAGGGCTATGTATGGTCATTCTTCTTCTCATCTTGTTGAAATAATAGTCAACATTAAGCAAATACAATATCTTATTAATCTTTGCTAGTTTAAATCCTTCCTGGAGCAGAAATGGATTATTAGAAATTAAGAAAATATCACATTCTTTAGTGTCATACACACAATGGAAGCATTATAGTTCACTCAAAACCCACAAAAAAACACTGGTCACTATAAACTTTCATTCTATAAGATATACGTATTTCAATAATCCGTATTAATTAAAGAATCATATTAATCCCTGAAGTAAATATGTGTATGTGAATGTGTGTGTGTGTGTGTTTTTATATTTATATCAGGCATCTGCTGAGACAGCTTTTGGAACTAAGTAACTTAAATTTCTAACTTCAATACATACACCAGATACAATTTTGCAATTTTTGTAAGCAACAATCAAAGAATCTGGTCGATAAAAATCCCTTCTTATAAATAAAACTGTTAAGTCTCCTTTTTCTAGCTAACAGGACTTTTGTCGTTGTTCAGTTGTTTTTCAGCTGTGTCTGACTTCTTAATTCCCTCTTGGGTTTTCTTGGCAAAGATACTGGAATGGTTTGTCGTTTCCTTTATTTGCCATTTTGGAGTTGGAGAAACTGAGAAAAACAATATTAAATTATTTACCCAGGGTCACTCAATGAATAAGTATCTGAGGACGGATTTGAATTCAAGAAGATGAGTCTTCCTGATTCCAGGTCCAGCACTCTATCCACTGCACCACCTAGATACTCAGTGTAGAAATCATTTCTCATTAAAACTGATTCATCACTTCAGAGTTTTACAATCTGCTGTCTGCAAGGCTGATAAACTTTATGACCCTGCACAAATAGAAGTTCCCCAGAGTGAAAAAAAGTCTGTGATCTTTTTACCAATCAGTAAATGATCATCATTATATGTTTCAAAGTTAAAAGTACCTAATTAAATACTTCATAGTTTTAAAACATTGTGACCATATTCTTTAACAGCTCAATTCATAATCAAACCACATATAGATTAAAAGAGGCTTTAATTTCCTAAGAATACAGTTATATCATTCTCTAGGTATCATTTTATTCAAATTAGAAGCATTTCTTATACATTGATTTATCAAAAATCATAATACAAGGAAAGATAGATTAGCAACAGCATAAATAATATTATGGACATTTGAACATAACACAAAATTTAGTGTCAGTCAAAGACATCAATTCACTTGAATATCTTGTTAAATCATCTTACATAGAAAATTACTGCATCCAGTTATCAATTTGTCATTCTATATTAATCTCACTCAAAGACCAATATAGAGTAATTACACTTTTCATTTTTATTCAGGAAGTTTACAAGAGCATGTTGTTTTAATACCAAATATCATATGTATTTTGTATTAAAGTGTGATGTACCTATTTAGATAGTTGGACATCAAAATTTGCCTCATAAGAGAATATGTCTCACTCTAAATGAGACCAAGTTATAATTTAATTTGGGTAATTAAATAAAATCTGGATTTACAATCACAAATAATATCATTCAAAGTCCCAATTTTTCCAAGGACCTTTAGCTGCCAGTACATAAAATTACAAAATCCATTGCTTTCAGTTAATTCATTTCCAAAATTTTATGGGGGAAAGATCACATTCTTCTCTCCTCTTCTGCAGCCCATGAGGCCATCAAAAAACATGGAAATTGTAAACTTAATACTATGACTCTATCCTGACACAAATATTGAAGCTTATCTTTCTATTTGTCCTTCAAGGAAATAATTTTAGTATGTTATATTCAAATACTTCTATGACACAAATTAATTACTATAATTTGTATTTAGTAAAGTTTGACATTTGATAGACTATTATTGAAAGTGACATTTTTTCAAAAAGTTTCTTATATCCTTCTTATCTCAATGAGATAAAAAAAAAACCTGTTCAGACCTCTCTTTTCAAAACTCCAAACCCTTGTGCAAAACCTCCTTTCACACTGACAGTACAAATGACCTCCAAATTTCTTTGACTTTCTAGTCATTCTTGTCTTATCTCTACTTGCTTGAACCTTCTCTCTTTTTTCTTATAGTGAACTTTGATTAAAGTCCTTCAAAGTACATCTCTCTTATTAAGCTCTGATTCAATATATCACTTTATAATTCACTACTTTTATTTTCACTACATCCTTAGTTCCCACTCATATACCAGTCTGATTCTACACTGAATCTTTCTTGTATGAATTTTCTTATCTTTTACATTTTGAAGGATAGAGCATATTTCCCCATCTTTTTAGGTGATGTTGTCACCAACTTACCTAAACAATTAAGTTTTTTTAAATCATTCACAGAAGAAAATTCAGTTAAGGCATCACTTGATAAAGCCTACAGCCTACAGATTATATATACATATATGTATATATATATGTTATATATACATATATGTATATATATATTATATATATGTATATATATGTATATATATATATATATAAAGTAAGCATTTATTGTTTTTGTACTTTAGATATTTCAGTTTTGTCTGACTTGTGATCCCATTTCAAATTTTCTTAGCAAAGATTCTGGAACAATTTGCCATTTCCTTCTCCAATTCATTTTGACCATAATTTGAATGTAATCTTAGTTTTAGTTGACTACAAATTCACTAAGATATTTCAGCATTTACAGACAAAATTCAAATTATAATTTATAAATTTACATTTGAATATTACATTTCAGTCACAAATTTAGTCTCTATTCCATTTACAATGCTGGAAATTATCTTTTTTTTCTTGTTTGTCTTCATTTTTATGTCTAAATCGGGCCAGGATTAAAACTGAGAAGGGAATATCTTGTAGTTTTTCCTCATCTCCCACTGAAAGTCCAATTAAAGGGTTCATGAAAGTAAATAGCAGCTTAATGAAAGGAAAGCTTAGTACAAACATGGAGTATATCATGGATAGCAGGGGGAGTTGTTTCACATATAAAACTTTGGGAATTAACTTAAAACCATGCAAGATTTAAAAATTTAAAGCAATTATCATATTTTGTGATGTCGGCAGCTTAAAAGAGGCTGGTATCAAATGAATGGCATTAATATAGTCTTCCTCATTGCTTTATAGGATGAATTAGCCCAACCTTTGAAATAACAGTCCCTTGATGGGAGCAATGTAACAGTTTACTGTGCCACATAATAGGAATCTCCTTGGGTCTCACACAATGGTACCTCTTGTATTCACCACAATTAGTCTCAATCACTAAGCATATCTCTAGATCTATTTCTCATGTTTCCCCGAATAACTCAATTTGAATGTTTGGTATTAATATTTTTAAATTTAATTCCTACATATCAGAATTTGATGATTTTTTTTTGTTTTGTTTTCCTCCTATTCATCTGGGTATTATCTTGATGCTTCCTTTCTCATATATGCTCATAAGTTCTGCAAAACTATTTTGCATTTTTCCTGAATGATTATCATATGTATTTCTTGTTGGTTATTCATTTTAAGTGATGTCTGACTTTTCATGACTCCCTTTTTTGGAGGGAAGAGGGGGGTTTCCTGGCAAAGATACTGAAGTGATTTGCTATTTCCTTCTCCTACTAATTTTACAGATCAGAAAACTGAAGTAAAAATAGGGGTAAGTGAATTTCCCAGAGTCATACAGTTAGTAAGTATCTGAAGCTGGATTTGAACTCTGGTCTTCCTGACTCCAGGCTGGCACTGTATTCATTTACACCTAGCTGTTCCATCGTATTTATTGCATTGTAACTTTAAAAAATGTCCTATTCTTCTGGGAGACTTACGATCAACTGGAGCCTTATGAACAGAACAGTTAAATGATTGGACCTGAGTCTTAAAGATTCTTATTTCTGTATTGCTGTGGAGATTGGATTGTAGAGTGGATATTTGGATCTAGGTAACTCAAATAGGATGTTCTTTTTTTTTTATTTAGATCAGCTACAGCCCATTTGATCTTCTGGCTGATAAGGTCCAATTTCCATATGTCTATCCTATGGGCAGCAAAGAATTCACTCTGCACCTCGCAGTGGTCCAACTGATGATACATTTTGGCTGGACTTGGGTTGGGTTGGTTCTTTCAGATGACACAAAAGGGGAGAAATTCTTCAATGATCTGAAAGAGGAAATAGTCAGGAATGGTTTGTGTGTGGCCTTTAAGGAAATTGTTCCACCACAATTTGACTATAGACATTATGAACAAGTTAAATTGTTTTCCAGGATCACTGCATCATCATCGAATGTGATTTTCATTTATGGAGATACAGACTAGCTTCTAGCATTATCTTCTACAATATTTAATTTTGGACTGCATGGGAAGATGCTAGTCACCACTTCCTCCTGGGTTTTTTCTGAAGTTTCTAATAATAGATAGACTAGCAGTTTCCATGGTACAATGATATTTTCTCCTTCTAAGATGAAGGTTCCTCATTTCACAGATTTTCTAAGTAGAGTGAACCCCACTATGCACCCTAATGATATTTTCCTAAAGATTTTCTGGGAATCTGCCTTTAATTGTAAGCTTTCAGAAAAAAGACCTGAGGAAATAGTTTATGTCTCATGCCTAAAAAATGTTTCCCTGGCAGATGTAAGTCCTTTGTATTTTGACACGATCATATTGGACTTGAGTTCTAATGTCTACCATGCAGTGTACTCTGTGGCCTGTGCTCTCCATCAAATGTTTCAGTCTGAAGAAAAGGAAGTGTCACAACTTGAAGCAAATCCAGTTCTTTTTTCAAAGGTAACATTTCTCTTATACCCTTAAGGCTCAGCATAAACAGTCTTCATCACCCAGTGGCTAGGTATCTGTTATGTGGATGTTACCAAAATGACCTGTGACATTAGTACTCCTTCTTAATCCCTACTATCTTGTCCAGTCTGTTTTCATTCACAATTACATTTCATTCTGGATGAAAAAAATAGCATTACCTTAGAAAAATATCCAGTTATTTTGACTCATATGGCAGTTGGTGAAAATATTGGTGTTTTTCCTTATGCACATCTCTCTGGGTACAAGTCTATGTGACAAGAGACTTTCTTTAAATCCACTTCAACTTAGGGACTTTACTATGGACAGAGTCATGATCCTTATTATGCTATGATGCTTCAGGAGATTTCTAAATAATTAATTTTATTCTGACATCTATAATCGGATATATTTTGAACAATGTATTTGATATTTGTTCATGGGTACATTTGCTTCAATGATGCATTTGCTTGTTTGTTTGTTTGTTTTTTTAAAGTCAGAGAAATCCACCAGTGTTGATGGTATTTTAGATATGATTCTTACTGACATAGAAAAATTGGTTGCTGGGATGGAAAGGATGGAAAAATGGAGTCTTAGGGAGTGCCCATAGTCTCTTACAAAGAAGAAAGAAGAAGACAAAATCTGGTCATAGAATGATATCCAGTCTTGATTTGGAAGAACATATTTCAAAAATTTAAAAGAGGGATAATTTCTTTGAACTAAAGTCCTACAGAGGCCTTCATCCCAGAATAAATGACAAAATTTCAAGAAGTTAATCCAATAGTCAACAAAGAAAAAGACTCCAATGAGGAAGAAAAACAGGCATTGCTTGTATAGGCCAATGTTGAGGACAGAAACTCATCAATCAACTCAGATGTATTCTCTCTTTCCTTCTCTGTATACACACACACTCACACACACACACACATAGACACACATACACACACATATACATATATAAACACACAGATATTCTCTTTCTATATATGTATGTGTCTATATGTGTGTATACATAAACACATATAGACATATACATATGCATATGTATGTGTATGAATGAAATAAAAAATGACCAGGTAACAGATGAACCATACAAAGCATGGAATCATACTCGAAGGAGAGCCAAAGGTCAGAAGAAATTGAATCTTGTAAGGAAAATACATTTAATAGGAATTTTTTTGTTTTGATTTGGTTTTGTAGTTTCTAAATGGTTTGAAAGAAGATTATCAAAGAACACATTTAATACACCTCTGGGTGGATGGGAAAATGAATATTGACAATAGAAAAATGGCTACTCAATTCTGATTTCCTTGTTTTTGCCTGCCAATGAGAATGAATTTTTCACTAGAATATAGAAAAATAAAATGGCTAGCATGTAGTTGATTTGATTTGCACATGAAGAAGGCAACGAGAACTCTGTAACTAATCTCACAGTTAGCAGAATGAGAGTTGGTGAATGAACAGTTAAAGAATAGTCAGATCAGGACAAAAACAAAAGGAATTAATGGGCCCACCATTGGATCAGCTGAGGACAGCTCCCTAGAGATTTTGAAGCTGTGGATTTGTGCTCATGAGTCACAGGGAGACCTTCCTGCCCTGTTGGTACTGGCTATTATTATTTTTTTTTCTTTTCTAAGTGACCAGGCAGCTATGGTAATTGTCTGAGTGCTGGGCTTTGAGTCAGGACCACCTCATGTTACATCTAGCCTCAGACATTTAATAGCTATGTACCCTGCTGGGCAAGGCACTCAAACTCTATATGCCTAAATTTTCTCAACTCTAAAATAAGGATAATGATAGCACTTATCTCTCAGAGTTGTTATAATGATGAAGGAAAATAATATTTATAAATTCCTTAGCCCAGTGTCTGGCACATAGGCACTATATAAATACTAATTTTTGTAAGAATGATAATTAGCATTTACATAATAATAATTATACAATAATATATCTAATACAAAAATATGTTACTCTGTACAATTATCAAAAATGACAGCCATAATAATACTATTACTATTATTACTTCTACTTCTACTACTAAAAGTTGTAGGCTAGCATAGTTGTCTTTTAATCCTAGCAAACTTCTACAATACATTATTGAAGCCTGGTTGAACTGGTATATCAACAGAATAATATAGGAGCTATGCAGCTTAGGTTTGAGAAAAGAGTTGGATAAACTTATCTCATTGAGTTTTTGTGGAAATTATACATTGGTTCATAGTAAATTAGATGGATTTGGAAGCCTTGAATGGCTGATTGATTGTAAAAGACTCCATGTCAGCCTGGAAAGATGTGTCCTGCACAGTGATCTGGGCATCTGACCATTGTACTTTGCTATTCTATATTCCTTATCAATGACTTGGGTAAAGGCAACATGGACAGGCTTATTCAATTTGTAGATGATACAAAGCTGATATCTCCAGCACATAGTGAATAGTGCATAAATTTATTTCTATAAGAATATAGCAAATAGGATTTCTGCTACTGGGAGCCAAGATGGTAGAGTAAGAAGTAAGTCACTCTTACCGTACCTTATGAACCTTTGAAAGGCCAGAAAATAACACCCCAGGAAAATCACTAAAGAGTTGAACCAGAAGAAAGATGGGGTGCTGCAGTCCAGTAACCCAGGTAGCTTGAGGGATTAATGGGAAAGGCCCCAATAATGAATATAGATGCAAAATTTTGTTAGTAAAATATTAGCACATAGATTACAGCAACTTATCACAAGAATACTACACTGTGATCAGGTAGGATTTATACCAAGAATGCAAGGCTGGTTCAATATTAGGAAAACTATTAGCATAATTGATCATATCAACGACAAAACTAACAGAAATCACATAATCATCTCAATAGATGCAGAAAAAGCTTTAGACAAAATACAACTCCCGTTCCTATTAAAAACACTAGAGATAATAGGAATAAATGGAATTTCCTTAAAATAATAAACAGCATCTACCTAAAACCTTCAGCAATCACCATACATAGTGGGGACAAGCTAGAAGCATTTCCAATAAGATTGGGGGTGAAACAAGGATGTCCATTATCACCACTGTGCTTCAATATCATACTGGAAACATTAACCTTAGCAAAAGGAGAAGAAAAAGAAATTGAAGATTATTAGAATAGTCAAAGAAGAAACAAAGCTATCACTCTTTGTGGGTTATATGATGTTATACCGAGAGACTCCTAAGGAATCAAGTAAAAAATTACTTGAAATAATAAACAATTTAGCAAATCTGCAGGCTAAAACATAAACCCACATAAATCATTAACATGTCTATATATTACTAACAAAGCCCAATAGCAAGAGATAGAAAAAGAAATTCCTTTTAAACTTACTGTAGACATTATAAAATATTTAGGAGTCTACTCCCCCCCCCAAAAAAAAATCAGGATCCATATGAACACAATTACAAAACACTTTTGACAAAAATAAAGTCAGACCCAAATAAGTGGACAAACACCAGTTGCTCATGGGTAGGCCGAGCTAATCTAATAAAAATGACAATTCTACCTAAGCTAATTTACTTATTCAGTGCCATAACAATCAAACTACCAAAAATTATTAGAAAAAATAAAAACAAGATTCATTTGGAAGAACAAAAGGTCCAGAATATCAAGGATCTAATGAGAAGAAATTCAACAGAAAATGGCCTAGCCATTCCAGAACTTAAATTGTATTATAAAGCAGCAATCATCAAAACTGTTTGGTACTGGCTAAGAATTAGAGTGGTGGATCAGTGGAATAAGTTAAGTATGCAAGACACAGTAGTCAATGACTATAGTAATGTATTATTTGATAAACCCAAAGACCTCAACTTCTAGGGAAAAAAACTCACCATTTGACAAAAACTGTTGGAAAACTGGAAAAGAGTATGGCAGAAACTAGACATAGACCAAAATCTCACACCATATACCAAAATAAAGTCAAAGTATGTTCATGGTTTAGATATAAAGGTTGATACTGTAAGCAAACTGGGAGAGCAAGGAATAGTTTACCTATCAGATTTATGGAGGACAGAAGAATTCATGACCAAACAGGAGACGGAGAACATTATGAAATGCAAAATGGATAACTTTGATTATATTAAATTGAAAAGTCTTTGCACAAACAAAGCTGATGAAACCAGGATTTGAAGGAAAGTATAAAATTGGGAAAGAATTTCTACAACCCTGTGTCCCTAATAAGAGTCTCATTTCTAAACCATATGGAGAGTTAAGTCAAATTCATAAGAATACAAGTCATTCCACAATTGATAAATCGTCAAAGGATATGAACAGGCAGTTCTCAGATGAAGAAATTAAAGCTATCTATAGCCCCATAAAAATGCTGTAAGTCACTATTGATTAGAGAAATGCAAATCAAAACATTTCTGAGGTACCACATCACACCTATCAGATTGGCCAACATGACAAAACAGGAAAAGGATAAATGTTGGAGATGGGGGAAAATTGGAACACTATTTCGTTGTTGGTGGATTTGTGAAATGATCTAACCATTTTGGAGAGCAATGTTCATACCTGTTGTCCCAGCAATAGCACATCTAGGGCTGTATCCCAAGGAGATCATACAAATGGGAAAAAGATCCACATGTACAAAAATATTTATAGCAGCCCTTTTTGTAGTGGCAAAGAATTGGAAATTGAGAGGCTGCCCATCAATGGGGGAATGGCTGAGCAAGTTGTGGTATGTGAATGCAAAGGAATACCATTATGCTATAAGAAATGATGACCAGGCTGATTTCAGAAAAATCTGGAAAGACTTGTATGATCTGATGCTGAGTGAAGTGAACAGAACCAGAAGAATGTTGTATAAAGTGCACTCTACCCCTTATAAGATTGTCTTCATAAGCTTAGATTTGATTGGTGATATCTACTCTCAGGGTGAACTAAACATTTTTAACCTCACTTTCCATTTTGCTCTTCAAGGTTCCTTACTGCCAATTTTACATAAGTTCTTAGTTGTTGTTTCTTCATGGTACCTCAAAAGAGATATAAAATTCCCCTACACACACACACACACACACACACACACACACACACATGAATTGTAAATTCTTTGAATGTCCACATTCATGAATTTTTTTAAGGATTATGTGCCTTGGTAGGGACCAGTTTCTCTGTCCCTTTATTCCCCAATAGCCTAACTAAGCTTTTCCTCAGAGTTTGATTAAATAAGAAATTTGTTGCTGAAGGCCATCATATTTCCCTTTTTCATTTATTTTTCTGGATTAGAAAGAAACACATATTTGAAAACCAATTTGTATCACAAAACTAGTTCGATATAAATTGGTTTTCAAATATGTATTTCTTTTTTCAAGTGTATAAAATTATCTATTTTAATCAAAACAATAAACTATTACCATCATATTTCTCAGTGAGAGGCTTCCTCTCTGTTGTCATTCATCTCATTCTACATTTTCAAGCACTCTGGGAAATTTTCTTTCACATTTGGAATTTACATCCAGACTCCTTCCTGCGAAAATAATTTTCAGGATATTATTGAAATTTCACCTTTTCAAATTTCCCTCCCATTTTTTTTTACTATTTCAATTACTTGCAGTTAATCATTCTGCCACCTCTTTCACATTTTCTTGCAGCAGCTTTATTCTATTTTTCTGATTTTTTTATGATTTTACTCAATTTTCCAGATTTTTAGCCTCTTATTTATGTTTTCTCTATCATTAAATTGGATGGCATCATTATGAATAGCAAATTTCCAATTATTCTTAACTTTACTTTGTCAACCACTCCTGATAGACATTTTTTGTTCAAGAGACTTTTCTACATGGAGGAAGTTTTCACCTAAAAATCAGTCAATAAACATATAGTATATGGAGATACAAAGGATCACAAAAGAGGCTCCCACTCTTTGAGGAGCTCAGGATATAAGAAGAAAGGAATGGTAAGCCTATTTTGTATTGATAATCAAGTTTAGGGAATCCTTTCCTCAAGGAATAACAGTCTTCTAACTTTGCATTTAGCTCCACCACTTTTTGAAATTCATCGGTCCTGTCAATATCACCAGTGATGAGTCATGTGAGCATGGAGCCAGTAAAGCTGCTGAGATATATGATATCCTGAACTTTAAATCTTTACCTGGTAGAATTGAGGCACTGGTAAAAGTAGGGGAGGTTATCCCTCATGATCAGGGAATCAGCATTAATGAAGAAGACATAGATTGGCCAGAAGATTTCCCTCAGGTAAGGGGAACAGTGAATAATATAAGCTCTATAAATGAGCCTTTTAGAGTCTTGGATACTTTTGTCTCTTTATTTACCTCAACAAGTTTTGCATGGACACTGGAAATGACTGTGGCAGGGTGGTAGCACCTACTTATTCTTTCTCTTTTGCTCTGGTTAGGACAGAATTCTGATTTCCTTTTCTCAATACTACTTTTAAACTCCTTCCGACTAAAATACAGAATGTTTTTAATTCCTTGTAATATAAGCGTCTTGAAATATCCCAGATCAAGAGGGCAAGTTTGAAGAACAGTAGTAGGATGAAGAGTGAAGAAAATATTTCTAAAAGAGACCTATATCACCAAAGGCTAAAGTGTGAAATATCTGGAATACTGCAGTTATAGAAAAATTTTATCTTGAGTTTGTGTTCCTAAAAATGAACTTGGGTGCTTTCAGAAATTCCTAATTTAAATGTAGGAATTTTCTTTTCAGGTGTAGAACATATGTGTGTATGTATGTGCATTTTCATTTGTCTGTGAATTGATAAATACCCCCCTCCCAGTCCCCATAGAAGTCTTCCAATAAGCACCCAAGAACAATGAAATCACCCGATTCTTACCTAGATTCAGTGAAGCTGAACTGTTTAATTAGTTCACTGTAGTGTAAATGCTCTAAATCCAGGATTCCCTGAATCATTCTCATTAAAACACAAAGAACAGGGCTTAAAGAGGAAAATTTAATGAAATATTTCCCCTCATGTGAGATATGCATTATCTCAGCATTGATTGTTTTAAAAGAAAATGTACCTTAGAGATAAACAAATATGACATATTTGGGAGGAAATGTGTTTACTTAACTGATAACTCCTAAAAAAAATGGATTTGACTGTGCCCAGTGGAGAATATATACAATTTTATCTCCTGGGGAAAAGGTGATGCCAATTTGAAAAGTGAAAAATAGTTTTTAAAAAGTCTGTACTGAAAAATATACCACCCTTTCCCTGCACAATCCTCAACATTTTATTCTAAACGTCTTCCGTAAGACAGGCATGAAATCACAATCCTGTCAGACAATCTTTCAGCAATCACTCTTGCAATGATATGTTCTGCTCTTCTTTGCTTAACACTCAGACCCCTACTTCCATATGCAGTCTGAGCTGTGGCCCTGGATTTAGGAAGGCAGCCCGTGAAAGAGAGCCCATCTACTGCTTTGACTGCATACCCTGCCCTGATGGAAGGATTTCCAACCAGACAGGTGGGTACTAAAGAGAAATAGTCCTTCTTCCAATGATAAAGATGCCTGATTAGAGTTATTTTTCCTTTGAATCTCAACCTGAAGTGACTTTGCCTTACCAAAATAACATTCTTCTGAGTGAAACATTGAACTCATTTGATTACTTTTATTTAATGCACATGCATTGTGGGCCTCCTCTGAGAACATCACATTGTTAGGCACTGAGAGGGAACATAATGGAAGCCATATCATGCCCAATAAGAAATTACCATATTTCTAGTGAGGGAAAATACTCTTATTTAATCAGTTGTCGTAGAAATTAATGATCTACATAGCTTCCACTGAAATTTTTTTTATTATTATTTACAGATGCAGAGCAGTGTCCACACTGTCCTGAATATCAGTACCCAAGCAAAGAGAGAGATCGATGCCTCCCCATGACTGTGACCTTTTTGGCCTATGATGAACCTCTTGGAATGACCCTGGCCTGTGCAGCTCTCTGCTTCTCCCTCCTCACTGCTCTGATCCTTGGAGTCTTTGTGAAGCACAGAGATACCCCCATAGTCAAAGCCAATAAACGCAGTCTCAGCTACACTCTTCTGGGCTCCCTCAGCCTCTGTTTCCTCTGCTCTTTGCTCTTCATTGGCCGTCCTAACACCGCCACTTGTGTCCTGCGACAAACCACATTTGCAGTTGTGTTTACAGTAGCAATTGCTTCCATTCTAGCAAAAACCATCACTGTAGTTCTGGCCTTTAAAGCCACAAAGCCAGGGAGCAAGCTCAGGAGGTGGCTGGGTTCCACAGCATCTTATTCTCTCATTTTTACCTGTACTCTAATCCAAATGTATCTCTGTGGCATCTGGCTTGGGACATACCCCCCATTTATTGAGATGGATTTACACTCTGAGCCCGGCTTCATTGTTATTCAATGTAATGAGGGATCCATCATAATCTTCTACTGTGTCCTTGGCTACATGGGCTTCCTGGCCTTGGGGAGTGTCACAGTAGCTTTTCTGGCCAGAAATCTTCCAGACACATTCAGTGAAGCCAAGTTCCTGACATTCAGCATGCTTGTATTCTGCAGTGTCTGGATATCCTTCCTGCCTACATATCAGAGCACCAAGGGCAAGGGCAAGGCCATGGCGACTGTGGAGGTCTTCTCCATCTTGGCCTCCAGTGCTGGGATTCTCATTTGCATCTTTGCTCCCAAGTGCTATGTGATCCTTCTGAGGTCAGACAGAAATACCCTGGAGATATTAAAAAGGACAGCTATTCTTGGGGAGTAAGGTGTTCTCAACCTCCTCCCAATTAGTCACAGAGTGGTACCTCTTGACATCTTTTTGTCTTATAAATATTTCAAATATATTTTGCTCCAATAGCATTTATCTTCTGTTTTCATCATCTCTTTATTTTTCATTTGAATCTATAAGCCTTGTGAAGGCATCACATTGGGTGATTTCTGAGACTAAATAAAAGAGTAGAAAAAAACAATAAATGTAAAAATATGAGGATTGGGTTTCCAATTTCTTATTTGGCATTTATTAAATTTCTGTCCATGAATAACTCCAATTAGGATTCTGACTCAATGATTTCTCATTTACAAAATTTTAATTATATTTTTTACACTTTCTATGTCTCTGTCATATCAGTCATTACATTTGCTAGTCTCAATAGATGAATTGAACATACGCATGAGAAATAGAAAATTGTAAGATAACTTGTTAGATAATGTTTAAGGCTCAATGTATTTACCAAATAAAGTGATTTGTGGTCAATGAAAAGTAAAGAAGTTATATTTCCCATGGTTGTTGTGTAGTCATTTTTCAATTGTGTCCAATTCTCCACACATTTGGGGTTTTCTTGGCAGACATCCTGGAGTGGTTTGCAATTTCCTTCTCTGGTTCATTTTACAGATGAGGACCTGAGATTAAGTGACTTGTCCAAAGTCACACAGCTAGTATGTGTGTGAGACCAGATTTGAACTCGGGAAGATGAGTCTTTCTGAATTCAAACTCAGCACTCTATCCACTGACCCATCCATCCGCCATACCTTCAAGGACTTTCCATCAGTCATGTCTCTGTATAGTCATGGACTTTTGTGGAAAATTATTGAGAGCTGCCCACCCCTGAGAAAGTGCAGTTCAGGTGAAGAACTCAGAAGTATTTGAACTACAATCCTTGATTGGAGAATCTCCAGGCTTCTCCTAAGCCCCAACTAGGATTCTATCCAGGAAACTAAGGAGGTACCCCAAAAAGGAGACTATTTCTGAAGAAATGAGGCTCCAAAGACATAGTCTTGGGAATACCAATCTGGAAAATGCAGAGATAAAAGATCAAGTTTTTAAGTCAGCAAGGAAAAGAGGGCAGACATTTGAAATCAACTAGTGACAGTCAGATTATCAAATAATGGAGGATCCCTACTAGGGAGACATCTTATAAATATAATAAATGTGGAAAACACTTCTACCTAAGCTCACACTTTATTTCTCTTTAGGTTTCTTATACTGCAGAGAAATTTTATGTATGTAAGATATGTAAAATAGACTTCCCTTACTTCTTTGTGCTCAGTAGACATGAGACAGTACATGCTAGAGAGAAACCTTCCATATGTTGTGGTGAGACACACTTTGAGCTCCTATTACGTTGCTGTTGTAGCTCAGTTTATTTTCAGTTTTTTCTCACACTTTGTGAACCCATTTGGGGTTTTCTTTGCAAAGATACTGGAGTACTTTGCCATTTCCTTTTCTAACTTATTTTACAGATTAAAGAATAGCATTTGAAACACAGGTGTGTGTGTGCCCATGTCACTCCTGTGATGTAGGAATAAAGAAACACCAATGGTAAATTACTGCCTGTAACAGCAAATAAGAGCTCATCTTTTGGGATTTGATAACCTTTCAGTCTCTGATGTATGTCTCATCTCCCTTTTTAAGCTTATTACATGCATTCTTCTTTATGTAATCTATATCCAAACTGATTTACTTTCAGTACCTCATACATGAAATTACAACACCTGTTTCCAAAATGATACCTTTTGCACAGGCCATTACCCATGTCTGGCAGAAGCTAACATGGATATTCAGTCACTCAAAATCCTTTGCTTACTTCAAAACTGATCTCGAGTACCACTTGCTACAAGAATTTGTTTACTTTTCTGTGTGCATATACACGTGTGTATATATCTACATATATAATGCATATGCATGTTTATGTAACCCAAGTTTCACCTTGATACACTCACCTTCATTGACACAGATTAATGCCCTGTGTCTGTCTGAGGGGAGGGCAATAGTTAAGGAGAGCTCAGGAGAAAGGAGAACTCCAGTCTCTTTCAACTTTTTGGGTTCTACAGTTGTTTTAGACACTTTGGGCATCCAGATTTGAGAAAGAAGATGGATGGTGTCAATTCCATTTTGGGTTACTGAAGGGAGAATAAAACTCTGGGAAAAAGCCAAGAAGAAAGCAGGTAATAGTCCCTATCATATCTCTATATCCAACTTGCTACATTAGAAACTTCAGGGAATTTCCACTGGGGTGAAATCTAGAACTCTCTCTCTTTTTCCTCTCTTGGTTGATCTGAGTGACCTCATCCCAACATTCTTTCACTCTATATGGTCTAGTATATATTCTGCAATGTATACTTTCTTGGTTTACTGTGTTGCTGTCAATTCGGATTAGTGGGACTCTTTGCTACTTCCAATGCATGTTCATTGTGGGACATGTATCCAGAGTTAGGGAATCAAGCTTTAGACATAAAGCTTGAGATCCTCATTACTGTTATTGAACAGTGACCATTGAAAACCTGAAAACCATATCCCCTAGACTAACGAAATATAAGGGAGCAGATAGAGGCAATTCTACCCCAGTCCCTTCTCTCTTTGATGAAGGCAGAGTGATCAACCTTCTGGCATCAACCTCTTGCTTCTCTTCCTGGCAGGAATTAAAATCCCCCTTGGAGAATGATTGAGGAGAAGAAGGCAAGATGTCTATTCTGCACCGCTTTGAGCCACGCAATGGAATCCACATTTTACATGTCAGTGGCAATCCTCATTATAAACATACATATACATTATATATATGTATATATGTATGTGTATATATATGAATGTATGCGTATGTGTATATATATACATGCATTCGTAAGTATATTGTGTACACATGCATGCATGTATGTATGTATGTATGTATGTATGTATTTTCAAATTGCAGGGATGCTTTGCTATCCAATACTCAGAAAGAGGAAACTTCAGAAATGAGAACAGAAACCCCTTAGAAAACATGAGACCAAGTTCACCCATGCTCATGGCCCACACCCAGAATCCCTAAAGAACTAAGGAACAAGGGAAAACAATTAGACCGATATCTCTACTTTTGGCTTTATGAACATTTTTTTTTTCTGGGGATAAAGTATCTACTCTGATAGATCATTATTTGATCATCTTTCACACCTTGGGAGACATGAAGTGAGATACACTTTTGTTTATAACAAAGGCAAAAAGTGGAAAGAACAATGAGTGTTTATGGGACATTATTGCCTCTTAGGCATCATCTTCAGTGACTTTGGGGGGTAAGGGTGGAAAAGAGGACTACCTTTGTTTCTCTTAAGTGCAAGACAAACATGATGACCTCAATTAAGGAATAAGGGGCTCTGGGGGCCATGATGTAGCAGCTCTGCACCTGTGTTCCTCATCCAGAAAAAAAAAAAATGTACCTCAGGTGGAAAACAATTCATCTTCTATGCCCCTCCCTTGTGTCTCTGGAACTTTAGCATTCCCAAAGAATTCTGAAAGGATCACAAGACTCTTTAACACTCCTCCTGAGTCAGAGAGGTCTCCCAAAGTTTTCCTGCTGTCACCAGTACAAATCTTTACAGTGATTCTGGTTTACCAGAAATTGCATCAGACAGGGTCCTATATCATGTTGGTACAGTGGATGTTCTAGCAGTCATAATACCCTTATAGAGCTTGGATCTCATTGTGAATATTCCCTCCACAAAAAGAGAATGTAGGCTACACTGGTCATCCCATCCTGAGTGATGCTTACCCGCTTTTCCTCATTGGTTTCGGTACAGTGGGACCATTCCATTCTTAGGTGCCCTCCTCATTTTCTCTCAAAATCACCAAGACACCAAGAGATCACACAATCTATATCAGTTGTAGTTGATCTTACCATGTAATCATACCATCTTCTTTCTGGAATGATATTATTCCATTTCTCTATCATAAACTTTTCTTCATAATGTGCTCCCATCTGCTCATACTGAGCCTATGGAGATTTAGAAGTGACTTTGTCCTTGCTCTCAAGGAATTCATATTTTTAACTTTTTTTATTATTTCGATTTACCAGCGATCACACCCATAAGGTTTTGAGTTTTAAATTTTTCTCCCCCCCTCCTCCCTTTCCTTCCCAAGAGAGTATGTAATCTGATATAGGCTATACGTACGCATTCCTATTAAACATATTTTCACATTAGTCATGTTGTAAGGAAGAATTAGAGTCAATAGGAGGAACCACAAGAAAGAGGAAGCAATACAAAACAGAAGAAAAAAGAATAGCAAATAGTATGCTTCGATCTACATTCAAACTCCATATTTTTTTCCCCCCATTGGATGTGGATAGCATTTTTCATCATGAGACTTTTGGAGATGTCTTTGATCTTTTCATTACTGAAAAGGGCTAAGTCTGTCAAAGTTAGTCATCACACAACGTGGCTGTTACTGTGTAGAACTTGCTCCTGGTTCTGCTCACTTCCAGTACATACAAGTCTTTCCAAGTTTTTCTGAAGTCTGTCTGTTCATCATTTCTTATAGAACAAGGTATTCCATTACATTCATATACCACAACTTGTTCAATCATTCCCCAATTGATGGGCATCCCTTCAATTTCTAATTCTTTGCCACCACAAAAAGAGCTGCTATAGATATTTTTGTACACGTGGCTCTAAAGGAATTTAGCTTATAATGTCAAATAGGTGCTATGAAACGGCACTGCATGTGGTTTTATTGTGTGTGCACTGCACAATAAAAACCCTGGATTAGCAGGGGAAGAATTAGACCATTCCATTACCGTATTCTTATTGACTGGCACAGTGACCAACACCATGACCAACAGTGTTTGGTAAATGTTTGTTGATCTGACAGATTGCCCTTCAAGAACTGTGTTGAAAGTAAACCTAATGATGACCACAATCACAGACTAATGTGTCAGCCATTAAAATAAAGGACAGCAGAACACATGGAAAATACATATGTTACAGTTTACCAGAGCATGAAACACTTGGAGAAGTCACTTCTCCATTTATGTTCAATGTTCCGAATTAGATCTGTTCTCCCCTTCGAAATGAATCTGGCATAGATTCATGAAACTTGGAAAGTGGTTGTAACATGTTGGCAAATAATTGAAATGTAATTGAAAATGAAAAATAAAAAATTCAAAAAGATAGATGACAACAAACTCATTTATATAGCATTTTAATGTTAATAAACCAGATCGTTTTGATAATTATTGTCTTATAGTACATTTTAAGATCTGGCACTGCTAAACTTCCTTCCTTCACACTTTTTTTTCATTATTCCCTTTGATATTCTTGACTTTTTGCTTTTCTAAATGAATTTTGTTATTATTTTTCTAATTCAGTCAAATAAATTTTTGGTAATTTAATTGGGATGTTATTGAGTATATAAACTAGTTTGCAAAAAAATTCATTTTTATTGGCCTTGGCCTATCCATGAATAACTAATATCTTTCCAATTATTTAAATCTGATTTCATTTGTTTAAAAATGTTTTTAATAATTTTGTTTATATAGATCTTGGGTTTATTTTGGAAGGTGTACTCCCAGGAATTTTATAGGGTCTAGAGTTATTTTAAACGGTACTGTCTCTTCTTGCAGAGTTTTGTTTGTGATATCATTTGCACCTACCAGATTGGCTAAAAAGATAGAAGGGGAAAGTAAAAAATGTTGGAGAGGATGTGGAAAAATTAGGAGACTAATTCATGTTGATGGAATTGTAAAAATGACCCAATCAATTTAGAGAGCAATCTGGAATTATGGCCAAACGGTTATTAAACTTACCTAAACCCTTTGACCCAGCAATACCACTACTTGATCTGTTTCTAAAGATGATTAGGGGGAAAGGAAAATAAACTATATGTTTTAAAATGTTTATAGCAGCTCTGTTTGTGGTGACAAAGAACTGTAAATCACAGGGATGTCCCTCAATTGGGGAATGACTGAACAAGTTGTGATATATGATTGTGATGAAATGTTACTGTGCTATAAAGAATGATGAGCTCAGCGATTTTAGAAAAACATGGAAAGATTTGCATGAAATAATGAAGAGCAAAATTAGTAGAACCAAGAGAACATTATATACAGTGACTGCTATCTACATCCAGACATCCAGAGAAAGAACTGATAAATAGAAGTATGCATGGAATAGTTTTATATATGTATGTATGTATGTGTTCGTGTGTGTGGGTGTGTGTGTGTGTGCGTGTGTGCACACATCTATACCCATTTGTGTCTAATGGTGGCCAACTCTAGGCTGGGACGGGGGTGGGGGTACAGAAAAAAGGAAATTTCATGATGAGTTTGTTGTATACTTGAAAGAAATAGCAAATTGTGCATAATAAATTTGCAGTTTCATGTACAATCATCCTTTCTTATTTGAACTATGTTATGGAAATGTTGTTTTATTCCATGAATAAAAAATAAAATTAAAACAAAATCTTCCAAATGAAAAGTTTCAAACTTATTGTTACTGTTAAACTATAAAAATTAGACTTTTAGAATAGTTCCCTAATGAGAATAAAAAAAATGTTATAAGTGAATTTCAAGAAAAAACTTTTGCATAATGGGTGGATCGGACTGAAAAATTAGTATCATGTTGTTGAAAGCTCAGCTTATATACATTTCTTTTATTTAGAATCAGGAGACAATTCAGTAGGTAGAGCACAGTGAGGTCAGGAAGATGTGGGTTCAAATTCAACGGCAAACATGTACTAGCTTTGTGACGCTGGCCTCTTTGTGACACTTAAACTTTTTCTGCCTCAGTTCACTCATATGCACAATGAAGATATCAATAGCATATTACTACTGTTATTGTTTTTGTTATTATTATTATTGTTATTTAAATATTATTAATATTTCTGAGGTTTTAGCCTCCATTAAAGCCAGGAATAATGAAACAGCTTGAACTTAGAATGATATATGAGACATCTTGGAGTCACAGATAGAGAAGAGACTTGAAAGCCAAGAAGACTTGGGTTAAGTCCCACTTAAAACATTAACTGTGTGACTATGAGAAACTCCCTCATCCTTACAATGGAAAGACAGCTAGTATTTATATGGCATTTTATGGTTTGTAAAAACTGCTTTACAAATATTATCTCATTTTATTCTCACAATGACTGTGAGACAAACA